TTGCTGTATATGAAGATGGTCTAGATAACCTTGGAAGTTTCGTGTTAACTTTTAAAATAACTCGTTTCACTGTGCTCTGTTTAATTTCCGTCATTGCTGGTTGAGTTATTGTCAATTTTGGAGTTTTCATATTTCCATGAAACGTTTAAACTACCAGTAGTACTGTTTGGGTTTGTTGGAGTAGGTTTTAGAAACTCGAGAAGGTTAATGTAGGTTGTCGAATTTAATGGTTGGCCTATGACTATAAATGTTAAAAAGTTAGCTTAAAAGGGAAAAAAAAAAAAAAAATCTCTATAAAAAGCGAGTAACTATAACTCATTGAACTCACTTTTTATATTTTTTTTAAAAAACTATCAAATTGATAAACGGGTTTTGTTTCCAATTAAGTAATAACAAACGAGCAAATCAGTATATATGTACGTAATTTTCCTTTTTAATCGGTAAGTTGGTTACCGAGTAATGAAGAAAGGAAAAAAGAAACAGCCACTTAAAGCGAGAGGATGAAAAAAAAATTAAGTTTGGTTTTAAGATAAAATCATTTCTACTAAATTAAGTTCATTATTTTTGAAAAAGGAATATTCCATGTTTATCTTCACTTGTGTCTTGTGATTATGTTTTGATTATAAAGCATTTTTACCTTATTAAGGTTGAAGGAATCATCTACGAAGACCAAATTAGATTTCTCCTTGGCTCTTTTTTTTACTGCTGTAGCATTTATCTCGGAATATAGATCACCGATGATCGTCTTGGAAGTTGAATGATTCTCATTTACAAGATGGAAAGTAAAAATGTATTCGTCTCTGCAAGAGGATAAACGTGACATGTCATGATTTGCTCAATTTAGTTAGAAAGATTTATCGTGCAACCATAAACATTTAAAATACCGTATAATATTCTTTTTATCTCGTTTAACTTTTTTTTTTTTTTTTTTTTTTTTTTTTTTCCAAGTCCTACAAAATTGAGGTTCTAAAGGAAAATAAAGTATAAAAGGTTTTTCTTTCTTTTCTTGCTAACGAATTAAAAATTTTCAAACTGGCACCTTTAGCTCCGTCTCCAACACTGGCTCCAGCACCAATTTTTACTTTTACTACCTCTACTGCATTCTCTACTTCGCCAACTGCTACCTCTTCGACTAGTGCTTCCTCTTCAACTTCCTCACCCTCTACACGATGGGTGCGAAGGCTGCACCATCGACAAAGAAACCATAGAGAGAGGAACCTGCTGTTTAGTCGGATGATACATGCTGCAGGAGGCGGTGGAAATAATAATAGTGATAGTAACAACATTATTAGTAACGGCAGCAACATTAATGGAAATAATTCTTCAACAATACCTTCAACAGTGCCCTCATCGACTATATCAACCTCTTCCTCTTCACCTAATATACAATCTCAAGACGATGATGATCTCCAAAGCATGCATCACCATTTTCGTAGCAAGACAGTTTGTAAATTAAATTGTGCGCACTGTAACAATAGTGTGTGCGTGAGAGGAATGAAGGTAGGTACTCATGGTGTGGCAATGGGAAAGGTGAAAAGATAAAAAAAATATATATCTTAAGGAATAAGGTCGTCAATGAGTTTTTTTTGGTTGGATATAGCTATATAAAATCTGGTCGAAATTTGAAAGTGGGTGGGTGAATTCACACATAGTATGTTCAGGTAAAGAAGAATATGATTCAAAAAAAAAAAGAAAATAAGAAAAAAAAACTCCCCAAGTATTATTGAATTATTTAACTATTATCAATCACTTTTCCTTTATTTTTATTACAGGCCATGTTATTGGCTGATACAAGAATTGAACTTTATTCCACTGACGTACCGCCATTATCGTGCGTGTCGTTGATTATTTATGATCTTTTCCGATTTATATCTTAGAAACATGACTAATAGTTTTTAATTTTTTAATCAAAAGGGTACAATTGGTTGGTGATGATTATATGACACAAAATTGTCAATGTAAAATTCGGGATGTGGCATGCCTAACATGGTAATATAATATATTATTTTCTAAAAAAATAGTTATATATACATATATTACTTCAATCATAATAAAACATTTTTATTGATAATTTAATTAGTGGGAATGTTCTAGGATATCATATTACTCAGCCATGCCAACAGTGTATGGAAGCTTGCAACAATGGTCATCTTTGGATGTTTCACACAGAGTCTGTTACGAGCGAAGAGAGATTAGACCCCGAAGGTATTGTTATTTGTATTGCTTCTTTTTAAGCGACTAAACCGGTTATATTTTTAAATGATCATTCTGTCCTTAAAATTTTCTCTCCCCTCTTTTCAGGGAAAAAGATTCTTTTATGGGCACAATTACCTCGAGCTGAAAAAGATATCGAAATAGTTGATACGGAAGACGAATATGAACAATGTTGTCGATAAATGAACCGCTTAAAAAAAAAAAAAAATAAAAAATAAAAAAAAAAAATGTTTAGAAAGATGGATCTTTAATTTGAATGACAATCAATTTGAAGGTCAATTCCAAAAAAAAAAAAAAAAAAAAAAAAAAAAAAAAAATTGGTTTGTATGATAGTAGTTTATTTTTTTTTTTTTGTTTTGGTCTTCGAATATTTGTTTATTTTTTTTTTTTTTTTCAAATTTTAGACTTTTTTTTTCTCGTGTGTTATAATTGTTATATTAAAAAAAAATAGTTGGTCACTAGAAAATGTGATTATTTAAATCCTGGAAATTTGTTTTTTTCGTAAGATGGTTCAAAAATTTTTTTCTAATTAAAGATTTAAGAAATTTTGCCGATCAAGTAGATATAATATATATAAATGATAATCGTGCACGTGTTTGAAATTTTAAACAGATGGATTAAAAAAACTTTTTTTTTTTTTTTTTTAAAAAAAAAAAAATGAATACCAGTAGAAAACGTAAACATGAAAAGGATGTAGATGAATTAGAACAAAGTAAAAAGAATTTAAAAATAGCTAATAATAAAGGAATTCATAAAAAAAATGACAAATCTAAAACGAATAATTATATGCAAATTCCTCAAAAGAAAAATGATAATAAGCAACCGTCTAAAAAGTTGGATAGTTTTAGTAATAGGAAAATTCCTCAAGAGAAACCAGATAATGATGATTCTTTTAAAAAGAATTCAAAAAGAAATAAAACTGATTCGAATTTGATCGAATTCCGAAAAGAGTTACCAATTTGGCAAGGTAAGTTTATTATCCAAGAATGAGTTTCTTTTTTTATAAAAAAAAAAAAAATCATGTTGTTTTCCTCTTGTTACATTTTTTTTTTTTTTAAAATTAGAGCGGAGTAATTTGGTACAAGCACTAATAGAAAATGATACTATTATTATTATGGGAGAAATGGGTAGCGGAAAAAGCACTCGTACGTATATGAATTAAATAATTTATATATATGAATTGATCGGGAAAAAATAATTATTTAAATTTTCTATAGAAACACCACAATTTCTGGTTGAAGCTGGTTTGGTTACATTAAAAAAAGGAATTATTGCTATATCTCAACCAAGACGTGTTGCCGCCATAAGTTTAGCCAGTAGGGTATCACAGGAATTTGGTACAAAATTAGGACAAAAGGTTTGCACTTTTGTTATTTGTTCGGATAATGAATTACGCAATGTTATTTAACGTGAGTTTACTTGATTTGAAGGTTGGATATTCGGTACGATTTGATGATAAAACATCGCATTCTACTTTAATGAAATACTTGACGGATGGAATGTTATTAAGAGAATTATTATCAGATCCATTATTATTAAAATATTCAACAGTAATATTAGATGAAGCACATGAAAGGACAATGCGTACAGATATTCTTTTTGCCATGGTTAAAAAAGCTCAAGAAACTAGGAAAAATTCATTCAACCAAAAAGACAAAAAGTATGAGCCATTAAAAATCATTATTATGAGTGCTACACTTGATGCTACGAGGTTTGCTAAATATTTCAACACGTGGGTAGAAAAATTAATTATTTATTATCATCATTTTTGTTGTTTTTAGCACTTCATTTGTTAAATTTAATTTAGATATCTATATGTTAATTGCTAGTACAGTTCTATAATATTGAAGATTCCTGGAAGACAATTTCCTGTTACGATTAATTATGCTTCAGAACCACAATCAGATTATTTGGATGCTGCTTTAACGACCACAATGCAAATTCACATGGATCAGCCTAAGGGTGATATCTTGGTATTTTTACCTGGTATCCAAAGATTTCTTTACAGTTCTTTTATAATGTCATATGTTTTATTTATCCTGAACAACGAATACTACCTTGAACTTATTTAGGTCAAGAAGATATTGAAATTCTTGAAAAATTGATTAATGATTATGGTACTTCGCTTCCCCCGGATAAATTAAAGGTAACGATCAAATTGTTGTTAAATTCGAAAATATAATGTTTGATCCAAATTATTCTTTTTTTTTCCGGTATATAGGTTATTACGTGTTTGCTTTTTGCTGCTTTACCTACAGAACAGCAGACCAAGGTATTTAATTTCACACCACCTGGAACACGTAAAATAATACTTGCAACAAATATAGCAGAAACCTCAATTACGATTAGAGGCGTTCGTTATGTCGTTGATACCGGAAAATGCAAAATACGTAAATTTAATGCCAAAATTGGTATGGAAAGTTTATCGATAGAGAATGTTTCAAAAAATTCAGCCGATCAAAGGTTGGGAAGAGCTGGTCGTGAGGTATTATTAAATCTTTTTTTTTTTTTTTTACAGAGAATTTATGAAATGTATCACTATAATGAATTTATTGACAATAATATTTACGTTTAGGCACCAGGAATTTGTTATCGCCTTTTTACTGAAGATGAATATAATAAAATGGAAAGAAACACCGAACCTGAGATCAAGAGATGTAACCTTTCATCTGTTATCTTGTTGTTAAAAGCATTAGATATAGATGATGTATTAGGATTTGATTATATGGATCCACCGTCAAGAACTTTATGTACATATTATTATGACTATTTCTTTTTTTTTTTTTAAAAAAAAAAAAAAATAGATTTTGCTTACTGAAAATTTTATATTGTAGTAAAAAAGGCTTTGGAACATTTATACATTCTTAAAGCTCTTAATAATCAAGGAAAAATAACAGAGCTTGGTAAAAAAATGGCAGAATTCCCGCTTGAACCATCTTACGCAAGAGTTCTTATAGCATCACAGGTAATTTATTAAAAAGAAATTTGTGTAATTTTTTTTAAAAAAAATAAAAATTGCCATGTTTATACTTGTAATTTGATGAATATAGGAACTGTCATGTACACGTGAAGCAATCGAGATTGTTTCATTACTTTCAGTTGATTCAATATTTTTTTCACCACAAGATCAAAGAGAATACGCAAGTGATGCGAAAAAGAAATTTATGTCACCATTCGGAGATTTAATTACATTTCTTAATGTATTGAGATCATACGAAGCACAAAAAGGAAATTCTGAATGGTGTTATCAAAATTTTATTAATAGGCGTAACATGAAACACGTCATTGTAAGTGTTAAAGTAATGTTTTTTTTCAAAATATTTGATAATTGATAAATGGCTTACATTTTATTTATAATAAAGGACGTGAGAAAACAGTTAATTCAATTATGCACAAGAATGGGAATACCAACTAATAGCTCTTGCGGAAACGAATATGAAATAGTTTTAAAATGTATGTTATGTGGATTTTTTCGTAATTCTGCTATATTACAACCTACAAACAATTACAGGACCGTTTTTAGTAATCAGGTAATTACGGATAAAATTTTTTTTTCTTTTTTTGCAATGTTTTAATGACATTTGTATTGATATTATAGAGCGTGAATATACATCCATCTTCTACCTTATTTAATAAAAAATTGGAAGCAGTCATGTATACTGAATTGGTAAGAATATCTTTATTTTTGCAATTTAAATTATAATTATAATAATATCTCTCGCTCTCTTAGGTGTTGACTACGAGACCTTATATGAAAAACGTATCTGCAATTCAAAGTAATTGGCTATATGATACCGCACCAAATATTCAACAATAAGATTCAATATTTAATAAAAGTACACTCCAAATGCCAATACCACACATAAAATTGTTTCCTAGTGAAATTCGAATTTAAAATAGAGATTAGTCTTAATCAAAAAAAAAAAATTATAATATCGTCATTATTAATCATACATACATTGCTATTCTTAAATATTTCTTGTGCATAACCATCAGAACTCGAATCCCATAAACCATTCACTTGTATACTATATATATAATTGAATCGAATAAATTTCTCTTTTTTATAAATAAATAAATTATTCAATGATCCTTACCGAGCACCAGCTCCTTTTTTATTTTCTAATATTGTTACATTGATAATATACTTGTACCTGCTAAGTTCCATTTCTATAGTATTGATAATCGTTAATGTCTTTTCTAATTATTATTTAGCCTTATCAAAGATTTAACTTACCCAATAATTTAGCTTTAATTTCTTCAGCAATCTCATTAGCCCAACCTGGTGCTTGATCTTTTTCATATATAGCTTGATCTAATTTCCCTGAAACAACTTGTTGAATAATTTGTTTCGCCTTTTTTGCATGAAACCTTTTTGTTATAATTATAAAAATTTAGGGTGTCATGTTTAATAATAATTATTAAAGAATGACTCAAAAGGAAGAGAGTTACTTTTCTTTATAAGATGGCCTTCTAAATGTATCGCTTTCTGAACCGCGACGTTCAAAATCTTGTGAAAGATCTGGAATATCTCCGAAATTCATTTTTGTAATTAAAAATAAATAAAATTTTTTTATATGAACTTTATATATTAAACTTTGAGACGATCATTACTTCAAGTTTAAGTATTTTCACACGCTAATCGTCCGTGCCCATTATAAGTGTCACGTAACTTGTGTATATGATGCAAAGATCGTACTTTAGAAACTATTAATCTCTCTCCCTTTTTCTCTCGAATTTTTTTTTCTTTTTTCTTTTTTTTTTTTTAAAAAAATTATACTTCTTTTATAGTATTGTAATTGATGTTCTTAAAATTAAAATATTAGGAACCTTTTTTTCATTATTTTTATTTTTTCCTTTCAAAAGATGCCTATCGCAAAAATTTCACCTTCTATGTTATCCAGCGATTTTGCTTCACTTTCAGCTGAAGCCAATCGTATGGTCAAAAATGGTGCTGATTGGTTGCATATGGGTATGGCTTGGATCTTTTTTTTTTTTTTGATATCCTAATTCTTTAATATCTTTATCAATGTAATTCTTTTTAATTGTTTCTCCTTGATTCGTTTCAGACGTTATGGATGGGTAAGAGACTTAATTAATAAATTCGATTTTTTTCTTTTTTAATCAATTCATTATTTATTCAAAACTTTTCCATTAATGTTTTCTGTAGACATTTCGTTCCTAATATAACAATTGGAGCCCCCGTGATTCAATCCTTACGAAAACATACTGATGCATTCTTGGGCAAGTTAATCAATTTCAATTCTCGATTATTAATAAAAAATTTGTTGTTCTAAATTTGATTTTGTATTAGATTGCCATTTGATGGTATCAAATCCAGAACAGGTATTTAAAATCTTTTATTCCTTTATTCAATTCATCAAATAATTAAAAAATTTTCAATTAAAATATATAAATTTAGTGGGTAGATGACTTTGCGAAAGCGGGAGCTTCAATGTATTGTTTTCACATAGAAGCAACAAATGAACCTGAAGCTTTAATTGAAAAGATTAAGAAAGCAGGAATGAAAGTTGGAGTAGCTGTTAAACCAAAGACTCCAATAGACACTGTTTATTCTTTGGTTGACAAAATTGACATGTGTTTAGTAATGACCGTTGAACCAGGTTTTGGAGGTCAAAAATTTATGTCCGATTGCATGCCAAAGGTATATAAATTTAAATATATATATATTTGAAATTTGAAAGATTGATTACATTAATACTTTATGAATTAATTAGGTAAAAGAATTAAGAGAAAAATTCCCTGAACTTGATATTGAAGTAGATGGTGGACTTGCTCTTGATACAATAGATCAAGCTGTTCAAGCAGGTGCTAACGTCATCGTAGCCGGAACTTCAGTATTTAAAGCTGAAAATCCTAAAGACGTTATCTCAACTTTTAGGGAAAAAGTTAATACAGTACAAAAATCATAAATCAATTTGAATATATATTATGTGAATTATTTATAAATTTTGCTAATTAAGGAAAAAAAATATATATATGTATAATTTATTTTTTAATTTTGATAAATGATCTATATTATGTTAAGTCGAGAAATTTAATAAAATCTTAAAATATTTCGATTATGAATTCGTCGATTTATCTTCTGTTGCAAATCCTTGAGTGAGTTTAGTTTCGGTCCTGTTATTATCACTAACTAATCGTGAATTATTATCAGATAGATTATTCAAATAATTTGATCCGAAAATACGTGGTTGATGTACATTAGCATTTCCCAAATTAAGAATGTCGGAACTAAGAAAAGAGGTCATTCCAAATTGATTATTTGGATCCACACTAGTATTTACATCAGGTAAATTTCCCCAATCCTCATCCTCAATTACTTTTGGTGGTTGATTCCAACCTATCATTGCTGTAAAATCTTTACTTTCATATTGATGTTGCCAAGCATTGTTATCCACCGCGATCGTGTTAATGGAGGGAATATTAACATTTCCTTGATCTATAGGTGTTGTCGAGTGAAGAATATCTTTACCAAACATTTGATGAGTAGTGGATGGATTTAAAGGAGTTGACTGATTTTCTGCACTATTATTGTTAACATCTGCAGTTAATTTTGAAAATTGCTCGACAAATATTTCATCTTCTGTTTTAACATTAAATTTATTTAAATCATTTATTAATTTATCCATTTTGTGAAATAAACGGATGCGAAAAAAAGTGTTAAAAATTTTAGTGGTGGGGGATTTCTGAAAGGGTTTATCCGGATTAACCGCAGTAACAAATTTGATTGGATTCGGGTGAAATTGTGGCTTTAATTTATTTACTTTATCGGATTACTGTTTTATAAAAACCTGTATAAAAGTATCATCATTTTTGAGCAATAATTTTTTTATTATTGTCAAATTCTCAATTTTCAATCCTTTTATAATTAATATTAATTATTCGAGAATTAAATTGCTAGTCAAAATTAAACCGTATACCAAGAATTTTTCATCCATAAGAGAATTAACAATTGAAACTATTAGGATTTGATCATAACATACCAGTCATTACGATTGTCACCTAAAAACCTCCTTTTGAAGTGAGTCGAAAAATTTGCATGTCAGTAATTTATTACAACTGTTTTCATAAGTTGTGGAATTTTTTGATTCGAGTAGTTGCTTGGGTTGTTGGATTGTCGAGCTGTTGGTTAATTAAAAATAACAATAAAAACGTACTACCCGATTCTAATGCATTAAAAAATGATGTTTCCCCAGGATAAGGTTGCTAAAAAATTCGCGCGTGATTTTCACGATTTATCGTGAAAAATCTTTCAGCTGATATTAATCAAATTTATTATAGCAAAATTATTATATAATCAACTATCCGAAAAAATCAAATTAACCTATTAATTTATAAATCGTAATCAATTTTACCACTTACAAAAGCATTTGCTTCCATTTTTAAGTGTCACGTTTTTATCCGATAAAATGATCTATGTTCAACATGATAATACATCAAGTTCTGGTAATAAATGTTGTTTTACTTCATCAATATAATATACATATAAATCTACTCAGCTAATTCATTGTGATCACAATATTTGATCCATTTTATTATGATAAAGCTGGTTGGTTTTCACTGTGTTGATAAACCGACTGAAAAAAATAATACAATAAATGCTTATATATCACAATTTCTTTTAAACAAAATTTTTGTTCTATTCATTTAAAATAGAAGGAATCCTTTTTTCCTGATAAAATAAAAACTTGAAAACTAACTATTAAATAAACAAATGAAATTATAAAAATTCCAAATCATTAAACCAACCTAATTAAAAAAATTCATTAAATTATTAATAAAATTATTAATTTTTCTTACCTACAATTATGTATGATTTTAATTTTAACCAAATATTTGCTTTTGAATCATGATTAATATTACATTCTATATTAAGAAATATATTTAAATAAGAATATAATCGTTTGATTTTATAACAAATATTCTTTTCAATAAAATTTTCTTTTTAAGTTATTAATTATAATTTTCTTACTAAGATAAATTCAGGTTTAACTTTAATTTAAAAAAATTTTTAAGTTATTTTACTTTATATTAAAATTACATTGTATTTTTTAATCAACTTATGCTAAATGATTCAGATAAGAAAGTATTACAAATGGTTATGAAAACATTTGCATATATATGTGCTTTGCTTATAATTTTAAAAGATCATTTTTTGTATAGTAAGGTTTTTATTAAGATAAATCTAACTTGTAATCTACTAATTGAACAGGTATATTATTCATATAAAATTGAACATTTATAAATTTATTACTATTAAAGTGAGAAAGGCAATCTTATTGAACTATTACAAGAAGTTTTTTTAAATTCAAATAGTATATTCTTTATATAGGATTTATCAAAAAAATGGTAGAAATTTCTTTACAAAAGGTAAACTGCAAATGCAAAAAAGTAATATATAATAAGATAATATTTATATTATTATTTTTTTTTTATCTTTTATAATACTATAAATAATTATTCTTCTATTTTAAAATTTTATAATAACATAAAATTAAATACTATAAAATAATATTTCTTTTCATTATTTTTTTACTTTAATAATATAATAAAAATTTTTATTTTTTTTTGAATTTTCATTTTTTCACCTTTGTATTTATTAAAATTTTTAATTTATAATTATTAATTAATATAATCTTATATAGAAATAAATAATAGAATAAATCAGATATTATTTTATATGAGATATATTAAAGATTATATATATTATATTAAATAAAGATCATTTAATACTCTTATTATAAAATAATAATTATTTTAATAATTATTAAATATTAAATATAAATATCTTTTCTAAGAATTTAAAATAAATAAATATTTTTAAATGTAAAATCTATCATCTGAAATAAAAATATTTTAAATATTTAATTATAAGTGATATATATATTAGAAAAATTTAATTTTATTGTTTATTTTATTAGAGATAAGGCATTTAATTGATAAAAAAAATCATAATTAATAATTTGGTCAATCTCTTAAAAATTGATTTATTTGATTGATCACATGTGATCAATTTCTTAATCGATTGCATTGTTTGATCAAAAAATAACTAAAATTGAATTTTAATTGCTTGATCATTGATTGATTTATTAATATTAATATAAGCATCAAAAAATTACAATAAGCTAATTTTTATCAATTACAAATATTATAATAACTACTAAAATCTCTTTAATTTACTAACATACAATTATATAAAAGGTTTATAATATTTACTATTTCATTTTACAAATAATAATTCATTAACAGTCTCTGGTTTTAAACTGGTCTGATCTTTAGTAATTTGATTTTCAGCATCACTAAAAAGCCACTCACTTAGAACAGATGTGATTATTACACTCAAATATTTTCTAGCTATTTTAAATAAAGTTAAAATTTTCTTTTTATTATCAATCCACTATTGAAATAGATCCATTTCAGGTATAACTTATAAAGTTCTAAAATTATCTAAATAGCAATTGATTTCATCATCTTTTTCATCTATTTCATATAATTCAAATAAATACAATTTAAACCCGCTCATTGAATAATTATTTCTTGAATTTATTTGAGATATAACAGTTTCTTCATTTTTTAATAAATAATATTTTCTTTTTAATAAAGATATTGCCATTTCACATACTTCTTCAGGCTATCTATACATTTTTTTAAATCTTAAATCTAAAAGGCTAGCAAGTATAGCAATTTCAGGTAGTAAATTAAAATATTCAAATAGCGCATTATATATTATTTTTTGATAGAATTAATAATATTATTAATTTCTGATAAAGACATTTATGTATTATTTGGAAAATTTTGTTTCTCATCATTATCATCATCACTTTTTTTATCATCAAGCATACTTTCATTATCTTCAGAATCCTCATCTATAATAATATTATTATTATCTAAAAAAAAGAATTTAAATATTAATAAATATAATTTAATTATTTTTAATTATTTAAATATTATATTTACCACTTTCATTAATAATATTATCATTTATATCTGATATATAATCATAATATAATGCATAAATAGATGAATATATTAAAGAAAGTGTACAATAATTTGATCACCTAACCATTCTGTTGCTTCTTCAATTGGTTTAAAAAGAACAATTAATTTTTTTAATAAAATCTATTCATAATCTAAAAGAATTCACATTCTTATTTTTTTATAATTTTTTTTAAATTCATTCTCTAAACATAAATTTAAAAGAACCTATTTAATAGAATCTTTTAATACTTGTAATCTTTTCCAAAAAGCTAAAGATGATTCTCATTAGATTTTAACATTATTAATAGTTCACAAAATTTTTAATGAATATTAATCAATTAATGTTAAATCAAATAAAATTGAATCATTTTCTAGTTGTATATCATATCTAGATGCAATTTCTTTCTGAGCCTCTTCTAACCATTTATTTTGTTTTAAAGAATTAAAAAATTGAATTAATTTCTTAAATCATTTAGTATATTTAATTTTTTCTAACCCTTTAATAACACAAAGCTACAATGTATGTGCATTATATAGAATATGATTAATATCATCCCATTCATAAATAGCTTTAATCATATTATTACTATTGTCAGTAATTGTTACATTTACTTTACTATCTAATCTAAGCAGTTGAAGTTTAGTTAAAATAGTTTAGCAGATATTATTGCCATTTAAGGATAATTAATTAGTACAATACAAATTAATATATCATATAATTCCATATTTTCTATAAGCCAATGACATGTAATTCTAATATAATCTAATTTTATGTGAGATGTCCAAAGATCTGTAGTTATAGCTGCTATATTACAGGTTTAAGTAGTCATTTTCTTTATAGCCTAAAATGCAGTTTGATATCCATAACTAATATCTTTTTTAATCGTTACATAATATGGTAGCTTAAATGCAGGATCAAGCTTATTAATCA